AAGAACAACGCTAACAACAGGAGGATGGAGGATGCTGTGATCGGAGCGGTGTTTTTGTTGTGTCTCGCGGGTTTCACAATAATGGACATGGAATGTCGACGTATACGTAAAGCGATTGAAAGAACGGAAAGGAGGACTAAGAATCTCCAACGACAACTGGCAGTGCTACATTTGCTACAAGTGCCTGCACTTCAGCGTCCGTCCATCTATCGCTGTTCTCCATACTTGCGAAATAAGTTGACATGCTTACAGTATGTTTACACAGCGTTTTAAATCATGGAGGGTGAGGGCGTTTTCGTACGCTTTTGGCCAATCAATGTCTACTTGCGTCACGGGTAGTACCAGTTGTGCTGGTTAGACCCTGCTCCGGAGTAGGAGCTAATCTGGTTCTCGAAAAAGGCAGTCCGGTACTAAAACCGCACCCAGTTCCGGCAGTGCGGTACTATGAAAAGGTTCCCGCGGTGCGAAAGGCCCTATTGTTTATTTGGGTGTAGAATTATGTTTGCGGTTTCATTTCGATTATTTTTAACGGTATTTCAAGATGTTTTCCTATATTAGCTGCATAATTGGAGGTGTGGCCTTTATTAACAGCTGTAGGTTAGTATTCATAATGTTTTATTTTTTACATTTTCTGAGCCAAGGTCACTACTGAGGACTCTATATTTGTTTTAAAAGCAGTTGTCATCTTTCTATGTAAAGTTTTATGTTTATATATTAATTATTTATTTTTTGCTCTGTACAGCACTTTGTATGTCTGGTAGGTGTTAAAGTGCTTTATAAAGAAAGATTGGGTTGAATTAGACCATTTATATTTCTCTCTTTTTCATTTCCAAACAAACACTGGATGCTTTTTTTTTACCACTAATGCAACATAATGAAAGACAAATGATAAACATTGGGTGTGCCGTTGGATGCTTTTATCCGTTTATTCTGTCATATGATGGGAAATATCCATTTTATCGCAAACCAGCTAATTAGTATTTTCTGGATAGCTTCATTGCTATTATTCTTGAACAATAAACAAATGCATGCAAACTATATTGTACCATCAACATTCAAAATCCTAATTGAAAATCTTCAGTTTTCCATTGTTAATTATGATTTTATGGTGGACATGTGCACTGATCTCACAAATGACTTGAATGCACCTTGTGCAGGACTAAAGCTGTCAAACCTGAATCTACTTTACAGGAAAAAGTCATGCGTTTCAAGTAATGCTCAATTAAACACCGATTCATATAATTTGACATTTTGAAATGTACTTCTAAAGTAATTTCAAAATGGCTGTTGCTTGAATGCATGTGACAAACCGGTTCATACAAAACACGAAATTACAAACCCTTGGTATAATTCTGCTCTGCAGAACACTAATACATGCTTACAGCATATATCATATATGAATGAGAACAATAACCTGACATAAGCATCTACACATCAAGATGTCAAAAGTCAATCTGACACATTGGAGAAGCTTTACAACCAGATGCTCACATCACAATTTATTATTAAAAATATCAAGCAAATCTGTGAGGGAATTAAACAAATGCGAGGGATTCGAGCTTATAAATGCATGATTACAACCTCGTGGTATTTGTGTAATTGCGTGTAGACTGCCTGAAAGTGCACGTTTTAGGCCGGCGAAAAACAGAAAGACAGCTCAAATAAAGAGATAAAGAAACTTGACGTAAATGTGTGGTGTAAAAACGCGCAAAAGCTCGTCGATTTGACTGAAAATCACTAAAGCAACTAGTCATGGTAGCTTCGCTAGTTCGCCACGCATCATGCACTTCTCGGCTGCCTTTCTTGAATCTGGCGGCGTTTTTACACACAATAAATCTTTAGCATTTTTTTTTTCTTATCAGAGAACATTTTATTAATCCACGACGCCCGGGGACGGAGAACGTGCGATGCAAACACGGAACGGGTTGTGAATAGCGGCTATATCGGCATGCAGGGCGCGTTTCGGTGTTTCCAGCGGTGGTGATGAAGAACATACAAAGGCATGAGGGTGCAAATGCCACAGCTTCAGCGCGTGAGAGCCAGTGGCCATCTTGTTTGTAGCTGAACGTCGCTGCATCAGCCAACTGAACGATCCGCTGAGGGAAAGTTGAGCCAGCTGCAACTTTTGAACGCAAACATCTACTCGTTCACCTTTGCATAACAATGCAATCCGCTCGCTGCGATAGAAGCGTAACGAGGTGAGTTGCATGACTTGCGCGGTTCATGCACGCTCTCATCACCACCTATCAGGAGAGACAGGAGGAGGAAAAAAAAAAAAGATGAAAATAGCAGAACGCGAATAAATCCGCTCGGGAGGATGCCTCGGCGATTTTTTTTTTTTTACCTGTTCATTGCTGCTTTTTTTTTTTCGGCCGTCAACGCGCCGTAAGCGGGACCCACAACAAAACCCCTGCCGGACCCGCCACGTCCACCTCGGCCCCAGCGTCCAGCAGCCTCCCTGTCGCACACACTCCTTCACTCTCGCTCTCTCCTCCCTCTCATTGACTAATTCCGCTTCGTTTTCACTCCCGTTGTCGCTTTCCTCCGGGTTTCAACCGTTACACTTCCGTCGTAAAAATGCAAATGCGCGCGCAGCGGTATCGTTGACTGAGCAGAGCTACTTTGTTTACTTCCTACAAACGCGTGTTTTTGTGCGTATTATTCAAGGACGCGCGGCTGAGTGAAATGAAATAAACATCTGCACGGACTAAGAAAATGTGTTTTGTGCAACCAGATGCGTCTTTGCTTCTCTGGCTAATTTAATGCTGTCCTCATGCATCATCTGAAGGAGCAGACACATCAGTAACTCCTAACAGAAGCTCAGGACTAGAGAAGAGAATCACATGCTTGGCACTGCACAGTTGTTAAGGACTGAATGGATAATGGTGCATGATTGTCATTAATCGATGATATGTGAATGATGAGACCTGCATTCCATTGCACACGACAAAGGGGTTGTAAAAAAATAAAACGAGTGTCAGTTCTTTTTATGCATGATAGTACAAGTGTGAAATATAACTATTGATAAGAGAAAAATGCGAAACGGAATCAAATAAAAATGCTTAATAAGGACTATTGACATATGTAAATAAGATGCGTAATAATTACTATTGTGTTTTATGATGAATCGTGTGTTATGACAAAAAAAAATAAACTGAATTAGTATCATTATTAATTGGTTGATTGAACTTTATTGTATTTATATATCATTATTGTTTTTTTATTTAGCTTCTAGAAAGGAGTTATGAAGTTTAAAGATAATAATAAATGGAAAATATGATTTAATTCTGTAAACGTAAATGCACATTACCTGTATGCATAAAATTCCTATAATATGAATAGTTGTAATGCGGAAAATATCAATAATGCAAAATAATGTTATTGCATTAGATACATTAAGAACATATGATGGTGTTTTGCTCCATAATCGACCCCCAGAGGACGAGATGGTAAAAGTGATCCTCTCTCTGAAGGCTAAAGATGCAGATATATGAAAAGTATGAATAATTCCTAGAAATGGTTAATCCTCTTCCCTTACATGTTTGTCTCCATTACACTTTTAGACCACCATTTGGTCATTTGCATGTTTTATTGTTTACAACACTGAAACACAGAGGATTTAAATTGGCTTTTGACTAAGGAAAATTGTCTTATGTAATTGTTAAAATTATTAAAGGAATAGCTCACCCAAAAATTAAACATTTGAAAATGTACTCCATCTCAGGTCATCCAAGATGTAGAAGAGTTTGTTTCTTCATCAGAACAGATTTGGAGAAATGGATTACATCACTTGCTCACCAGTGGATCCTCTGAAGTGAATGGGTGCCGTCAGAATGAGAGTCCGAACAGCTGATAAAAACATCACAATCCACACCACACCAGTGTCTTGTGAAGAGAAAAGCTGCATGTTTCGTAAGAAACAAATCTATCAAGACATTTTCAACTTCAAACCGCTGCTTCCTACTAAAATACAAGTCCTCTATCCGTAATAATGCTTTCTCCAGTAAAAAAAAAAAAAAAAAAGGCTCGTCTGAATCAGGAGAGAAATATGCAGATCAAGCACAATTTACAAGCAAGAACAGTTAAAAACAGTTCTGTCAATATGTCAATGGATTTTCATGTGAGAGGACAACAGGTGATGGACATTCTGGACAAAGCGTTATTATTGATTATGGACTTTTATTCTGCCCAAAAGCAACAGTTTAAAATTAAAACAACTAAATGATGGATTTGTTACTTACAGACAAGAAGCTTTTTGTTACACAAGATGTTAACTGATGGACTGGAGTCTTGTGGATTGTTGTGATGTTTTTATCAGCTGTTTGGACTCTCATTCTGACGGCACCCATTCACTGCAGAGGATCCATTATTATTAAGTAAGTGATGCAATGCTACATTTCTCCACATCTGTTACCATGAAGAAACAAACTCCTACATCTTGGATGGCAGGAGGATGAGAACATTTTCATTTTTGAGTAAACTATTAATTTAAAAACAAAATAGGAGCACATACACTGTACATTCATCTTGTATGTTATTTCATTTGCTGTGAAGGTGTGCTTCACACACTGCAGTGTGCAGCCATTTCCACAACTGATACGAATCAAACTGCAAGCGTCACACAGCTGTTACTGCTCAGAACATCAACAATAGCATCAAACAGGAATCTAGCTGGAGGACTTTACTGTAGAATTTATTAAAAAGCCAAAAAACCTTAGGGCCATTTAATTGGTTGCCTTTTGCCCATCTGTGCATCCAGGTTTAAGAAAAATATTCATTTCTAGCGATCCCAGAATCCATTGAGTTCAGAAACTCATCTGAGAGGTAAACACCCAACTCTACTGTTGCACTGGTAGAAATGAAGCAAGCAGATTTTATGGATACAATTCAAGACGAAAAATGACAAAGCATGTAATCGATGCAATATTACACCTTTTTAATGTATTGCCATAATTGAAATGTACAACGTCTTCCAGTCACATTAAAAGACATTTCAGTAATAGGTAAAATCTTTTTCTTTTTTTCTTTAAAGAAGAAATAATTAAATGCTGGATACAACAACAGGCACTCCTAAAAGATGAAAAAACAACCAAACAAACTTCCCTATAATAACAACTTTTGAAAGTTGACCAAATTTTATGCAACATTTAAAGGAAAAGATTTAGTATTGATTTTCTATGTGGTTCATAATTACCTGGATCACAATGTGCATTTTCTGTAAATTAACTATATTAATTAAATAGAAAGTTTTCATTAATCACCCTATCACTTATTTTTTTTCCCCCAGTGTATAGAGGATTATTTCAACAAAAAATATTACTGAATGTAAACCCAAATTTAACAGAGCTCTTGTATTTGTCTACTTTCGCCATAAATATGCTAAAACTATGTGAATGAGTCCTGAGGTAAGGAACTAAGCAATGCTTTCAGAATACCAACAAAACTGAGGTATGGATGTGTGGAGTAGCAGGAAAACAGTGCAAAATACATACTGGCGTAAAAAATAAACAACAAAAAAAGTAAAAGAAAATGGTACAAAAGTAATACTTGGCATATATTGGTCAAATGCTGAACTCTATAATCCATTCAGTGCTACTATGCCGTAACAAAACAGAAAACTACTAACCATGATCCATGGAAAAGAGTTGATCCAATTGGTCTGTTACAACAAGTGTTCTTTTCAATACATGACAATGCAGATTCTTAAAAAATAATAAAACCGCTAAAAGGAGTCATCATGCATGACAAAACAAAACAGCAAAATGCTCAAGTAGTTCATTAGAATAATGCAGTTCTCCGGGCGAATGTTGGACTGCATCACAAAGCTCATGTGTCAAGACTGTTTGACAAAAGTTGCTGTTCATTTTGCTTCACAAAAAAAAGGTTACAATAAAATAATAAAACAACAGGTGCAGGGTATTAATGACGGCCAATTGAGTTATCATCATGATGCACTTCAAGGAAAGTCACGCACACGCAAACAAACATACCGCAAAGTTGCAATGTCGTTTTTACAAGAGACTGCATCACACATTCGCCAGTACGAACTGAATAAATATCTGCAGCCCAAAGCGATTTTACATGCTAAGATTCTTTAATTCATGGTCATAAATAGATGGGTGTACATGGGGCCGTTTCATTGCATTAAGTCAAATGCAAAATTCAAGTCCTTCAATATTCATTTAAAATGCTTACTGTAACCCAGAACAAATTGACATATACCATGATATTGTCACTCTTTCTAATATCACCAATTCGTGTTCAGTCTTTTGGATCTATGAGCTGTAATTAGCTTGAAGAGACCGGTCACCCAAAAATGAAAATTGTGTCATCATTTACTCACCCTCTAGCTGTTCCAAACCTGTACGAATTTCTTTCTTCGGTTGAACACAAAATTAGATATTTTGAAGAATGTTGGTAGCAAAACAGTTGCTGGTATGTGACACGAGCAACTGTCTGGTAACCAACATATCAAAATATCTTTTCAGTTCAACAGGTTTGGAACAACTTGAGGGTGAGCAAATAATGAGAGAATTTTCATTTTTGGGTGAACTATCCCTTTCCGGTATTGCTCCCAGCAGTCTGAATCAATGAAACATACAGAGTTATTTTGACATTAGTAATTACACAGAAGTCAGATCTGACCAGCTGTAACAATTAAAGAGAACTAGTACAATATCTAGAGTTGACTGTTCTGGTCAAAACACTAAGCACATGAAAGAAGGAGTTCTGGCAAGTTCTTAACAAAAGCAGGGTGCTAAACAACAAATTAACCTCTCAATCCTCACCACCACCTATAAAATCAGCTTATTGAGCGGTTAAATCTAGGCACTAAACAGATTAAGTACTTCATTATAGTCTACTAATGAAGTTAAGATACTCAATACATCTGAAAAGAAGCTTAGGGTTCATAATGTAAAATGTAATGGCCCATATTGTTTAAAAAAAAAGCAATATAATCCTGTAAGAGAATGTACGGTGAATGTAAGATTTCCCTTCATTGTAATCTTTGGGTCGCAAGTTCTTGGTACCTTCCTACAGGGACATATTAGGTAACGTAAAACAAAATAAGCCACATTTTTAAATGCACAATCAAATAATAAGCACGCCAACTGGCCGGTCTCGTTCCATTTGTAAACTTTATTTTTTTTTTTGTGCAGGACCTTTACTCTTGATATTGCAGAAGTCCAGAAAAGATATGGTCCCATCGATGAGGTATTGATCCAATAAGTAACAGTAACACCTTGTACTCCACCCGCACACCCCCCCCCATCCCCCCATCCCCCCATCATGCTTATTACTGACAGGGATATTGTAAAACTTCAGGGTCGAGAGTGGGAATGTGCGTAACAGGTGGGACCTATATCTTTTCAATACAGGGAGTAAATTGTAAGTGCAGAATCCGTCAGCCTCTCTGGAAATGGTAGATAACGATCCATATTCAGATGCATGCCACCGATGCTGGGAAAACCAAATCTCACAACTGGGCATTTCTCCAAGTTCAAGATGTATGCAAAAACCTCACGCAAACAGTACAGGAAGACGCTACTCTAGTTGAGGATACTAAGGAAGTCAGATCCTCTTTTCAAGTCACTGAAATGAGAATATGAAGAGTTAGGAGCTTCTTTCCAATAACCATTTCAATGCACTTTTCTTGTCATAGCATCATCTCCTCTTCAGATTCCTCTTGAAGACCTCCTTGGTTGTGCACGTCATGCAATTGATGACAGTTGTGCAAGTTCAAGTCAAAAATTGTAAGCCATCCTCGATCCATGGCGAAATGTTGAAGAAAACATCTCAAATCTGACATGTACGTCAAGACTTTAATTATATAAAAATCCAGTATGACATCTGAACATAAGAGGTATTCAATGTTGAGTACTAAGTCAGTAGGGACATATTAATAACTGGTTGATTTGATCACAGGAGGCGCTTTACACTATCTCTGGTTCGTTTGATTACATTCAAAAGGTTTGCAAAAAGAAACAAGACCAGCATGCTGCAAGGGACCTATCAAACAGAGACCACCTTTTCCACATGTAGAAAATATTTACAAAGTATTATGATCTATTAAAACCTGTATTATGAAAAAACACCCAATGGAAAAAAGAAATTCTTCGATTCTTATTGTGATGGTCTATACAGCCCTACTATGATATTTACACAGCTTGTTGTTACTGGTATTTGTTTCTTCCAATAATCCTTAAAATTTGGGAAACGAAATGGAGGTAAAAACATCTTAAAGGGTTAGTTCACCCAAAAATGAAAATTAGGCTGCGTTTTACTCACCCCCGAGGCATACTAGGTGTATATGACTTTCTTCTTTCAGACGAATCCAGTCGGAGTTATATTAAAAATTGTCTTTGATCTTTCAAGATCTATCATTGCAGTCAGCGGGTGTTGCATTGCTTCAGTCCAAAAGAAGTTAAATAAAAAGCGCCCATGCATAAAAAAAAAAAGTGTCCCACACGGCTCCGGGGGTGAACAAAGGCCTCCTGTAGCGAATCGATGCATTTTTGTAAGAAAAACATCCATATTCAAAACGTAATAATCCCTTTAATCTAACTTGCGCCAGCAGTTGTACACAGAAGCAGCTCCGGGAGCATGACGTATGAGTTCAGCGTTGCGCATGCGCTGGTGAGTCTCGAGAAAACCAACGTTTGTTAACAGAAGCAAAGGAAGCAAAGTTTCCTTACTTTAGCAAAGGAAAACCAGTCTCCTCTTGGCTTATATCGAAATCCTCTGACATTCTTCTTTACAAATCCTTGTTTTGTACTTCTAATTCTTGACCGTTGTTTTGTCACTTCTGAGTGGCACATGCGCAACGCCGACCTCAAACGTCATTCCCCTGGAACTGCTTCTGTTTACAACAGTGAGCGCAAGCTAGATTCAAGTGATTATTACGTTTTGAATATGGATATTTTTCTTACAAAAACGCATCGATTCGCTACAGGAGGCCTTTGTTCACCCCCCGGAGCTGTGTGAGACACTTTTTTTAATGGATGGGCGCTTTTTATTTCACTTCTTTTGGACTGAAGCAATGCAACACCCGCTGACTGCAATGATAGCGCTTGAAAGATCAAAGACCATTTTTAATATAACTCCAACTGGATTTGTCTGAAAGAAGAAAGTCATATACACCTAGGATGCCTCGGGGGGTGAGTAAAACGCAGCCTAATTTTCATTTTTGGGTGAACTAACCCTTTAAATCGTGTCAGATGACTAATCTGTTTACCTCGGTATACCTTCAAACTAGCAAAAAAGGCGACACATTTCTTGCATTTCCTTCACCAGTACGTGTAATGAAAAAGTTCCACTCACTTCGAGAAGCAATAATCACTGGAAAACCGCTCCTCCTATTCTCCTGAATTTTTTCCCATCTTCGCACTCTCATATCGTTTTGTCCGTGTGTGTCCGTAAGTGAGCCTGGAGCCTTGAAGACTGGGAGAAACTCTTTCCACATTGTGGGCATCGGTTGGGTGTCTCCTCGTGCGTTTGTCGGTGGGCTCTGAGAAGATGTGCTCGGCTGAACTTCCTGCCGCACTCTTTGCAAGCATGGGATTTTCTCCTACCTTTGTGTTTCAAGGACTCAGTCCTGTTCGTCATCTCATCATCATCTTCGTCGTCCTCCTCGTCTTCATCCTCTTCGTTCTTTTTCTTATTCATCTGGTCACTCTTTGAACCCTTACCGTCTTGCGGATCAGCTGGGTCTTTGGACACTTCCAGACTGGGAACGGCATCCATGGACTCATCGTCATCCTCGAGCAGCTGGGAAGGGAGCGTCAGGAGTCTTTGCAACATTGACGGGGATCTGATTTGAGAGTCATCGCCTGTATACACAAAGACATTATAACCGTACTCAGTGCTGGGTAGATTACTTACAAATTGTAGTCCGTTACTAATTACAGATTACATGATTATGTTGTTAGTAACAATCTAGGTTACTCATTTTGGGTAATGTATTCCGACTACTTTTTAGATTACTTTTTTTATCTAATTTGTTTTAAACTTACCATTATTCATATCATATTGATATTAAAAAAGCTAAGAGAAAGCAAATATATTAAATTTTTTATATTAACAACATAAAATGCATTAAACATTACATTACAACAGGGTTTCCCAAACTGGGCTTAATGTAGGAACTGCAGTGGTTTTGTAAGTTAATGAAAATCTAATAATTAATTAAATCATAAAAAATGTAAAATAAAAATAATTTAAACAATTGAACACTAAAAATAGAAACATTTTATTTGTTTACCTGCATGCCAATGTGACCATTAACCGATATCAGATAACTGTAAACATGCGAATCATGTGTTGCTAAATTATAAAGAAACCATTAAATTATTCAGAAACATAGTTTGCAAATTTATTTGCAAGTCATTTCTGAATATAGTCAAAGCTAAATAGTATGACACACAGTAGAATTTTTTTTAAACAAAACTTAAGTGAAAAAAAGAATTAGGAAGCATAATTTACAGCCATTGTGTTAATATGCAATCAATAAAAAGTAACTGTAATCTGATTATTCACATTTTTAAAATGTAATATATTCTAAGTACAAATACTTAATTTTTGGAATTTGATTACGTAAACCAGATAACCCAGCACTGACCGCACTAGATCATCAGCACAACTCAGCCTACCTGTGGAGCTGATGACAGGAACGCCTTTAGTCTCAGAGGTTAGAGAAACAACCTCCATATCGTCTAGTGGCAACCATGGTGGCTGCCCCACCTCCAGCTCCAGCTTCCTCTGAGTGGCCAGGCAAGACGGCATGAGCGCCTCTCGAATTAAGCTGTTCATGTCGGTCACCGAGCCCGAGCTCATCCCGGTGCACTCCTCTTTACTGGTGGTGACCTCTTTGATCTGCCAGAGGTCACTGCACCACTTCTGCCCGAAGACTTTGTCCAGGATGGGCACCCAGTTCTGAGCCACTGCAATGACAGTCTGCTTGTCTGGTTCTGTTGGGGGAGAAAAAAAACAATGTAGAGATGGAAATGAAAAACAATGGCTTATTTTTCAGGTTTAATGAACACCATTTATAGAGCTATACACTAAACTAAATTGGAAAGCCAACTGACCTTTGTTTGCTGATTGCAATTCACTTGTAAATAATGTAGAATTTGCTTTTGAAAGTGATTTTCGCATTTGAAAGCTAGTTAGAATTCAATTAAATTGTTATAATAATTGAAAAACAAGACCATACTTCAGCACAAGCACCTGGGTCTTATTCAATAATTACCTGCAATGCAGGCAATATCTGTCTGCAAACAAGACGTTTATTGTGAGCCGAATCATTGGCCTGGTCTGCTTTGTTTTTACATAACAGCTTAAAAATAGAATTCTGAATGAAACCCAAAGAACAGACGGTAACAGATGGCGTGCCAACATGTGTTAATAAAAGGGGAAATTTCATTTTGGTGTAATACTATCTTTGAACATTGGGCATATTATTCTGAGCACTCACCATTTTACATAAGCTTTTTAATATTAGCGCCACACCAGCCATATTTAAATGAACTCACTGGCATTTTTCAGCACAAACATGCTTTCTATGAAAAATTTCATCTAGATTTCATCTTATTCTCAAAAGCCTGCTACAGTTGATTTCTGCCCATGGAAAGTGGGCATTAAACAGAATTTTATTTAAAAGAAATGTTTGTCTACATTTTTCTATTGATCGTAGGAGCCTAATCACAAGAACAGCTGTATATCCAGCCTGACACCCAATAAAAAAAAATATAGGAACATTGTAAACTTCATTCAGAGACGTTTCAGGTGCCAGGTAGAGCAATGATGGACAGTTACAGTAAAATAAGCCAAATCACAATAGTCTGGTGAATCCTCCGAAACTGAGCACTCAGAAACAGCCCGAAAGTTGGGAAACTGCACCAAACTAATTTGATTTGTACAGTTACCTGGTTTCCATAATTATTTTAGTCAAATGATTGCTAAAACAACACAGACAGTGCATGAACATTTTTATTTGTTTTATTTATTTTAATTTAAGAAATTAATAATTTTATTCAGCAGGGATGCATTCAACTGATTAAAGGTGACACTAAAGATTTTTTTTAATGTTACCAAAACAAAACAAAAAAAAGTACTTCCAGCTATTTTAAAGCTGTAAAAAAATTGCTTGTTTTGCTGCTTCATATTACAAACTGGAGTGTTTTACCGTATTATTTTAATGTATTATCTTAATTCTGGACCCACTGGTTTGTAGTGCAAACAGTTTTACCATTTCCTGTACTTTGTTATTCTTCTTGTTATTTCCCTACAGCGGCTAATGAACCCGGAAGTCTCACACATTCAAAGAAAACAGCTTACTTCCGCATTGGAAAAATAAGGTAGAGAGGTTTTCACAAAAAAAAAAAAAATAATTAAGCAGCACAACTGTTTTCAGCATAGATAATAATATTTATATATAATATAATAATAAACACTGAAGACTGGAGTAATGATGCTGGAAATTCAGCTTTGCATCACAGGAATAAATTACATTTTAAAATAAAAAAAATTGTAATTGTTTACATTTAATAATATTTCACTGTTTTTGATCAAATAACTGTAGCCTTGGTGAGCATAACAGATTCTTCAAAAGCATCTTACAAACCCAAAACTTTTTAACGGTAATGTACATACATTCTAATGATCAACTAACAGATAATAAAACAGTTTGTACCGTTTGTGGTTTCAGTTTTTTCTTTTTTGGGTGAGTGGCCCTGCAGGCCTTTCCACTCTTGCTTTTCTTCTCTGGAACTGCTAGGAGAGGCAGTGTCATTTTTGCGGTCCTCCGTTTCCACAGCAACCGCATCACTGTCCTCCACTATGTTCTTGTCCAGTAACTGCCGTTTCAATATCTGGTTTTCCCGCTCCTTCTTGTTGAACTCCGAGAGCAGGTCGTCAAAGCTGTCTTCCACAATTTTAGTGAGCTCATAAACGGCGAATTCCAGCACGTGCTCCATAACAGATTTTAACTGACCTGTAAATGGAGACAAAACGGGGGACGTTATGATATTATTTACTCAGAAAAATCCATCTGTAAAGTTCTTGTGACACAAACAGGTAGTTATTGCCTGTAGGTTGTCTAATGTCTCTCTGCGGCATCCACTGCACAGAACGGCACAAAATAACGCTGCTGGCTGACATTTATGAGAATCACACCAATTTGCTTGGCTCCCTACTTTCAGCAAGCAAAAGTTTAGATTTAAAGCCTCAATTACGCTAGATCAAGATTTGAAGGCAATCTAAGAAAAATGCCACTATGAATGCGTTTCTGTTGATGCAGAAATGGAACTGATGGACTGTATCAAATTGAGTGGTGTATTTTAGGCCTGACCTATAATAACCTTTGTATACTACCATATTTTATTTACATACTTATGATGGTCACATGCAAAACCAATTAAATAAATTTTTGATTAAAAAAATCCTGCAAAACTAATAAATACAATGCATTTATTGAAAATCATAAATTAACATCCTGAATGAAATCTTAAGATCAGATATAATAATGTTTTACACCATGTTGACAAACTGAGACATTTTTTTTATTAATTTTTTTTATTTAAACCCAACGTGACACAAAACTGTCAACAAACCGTCAAAGTATGACTTTTAAAGTGATACTGAACCTTTCATTTTGAGGTTTTAAAAGGTTTAGGAATCTATAAAAATCAAGGTTCAAGGTTTCTTTATTAATACCCGAAAGTAAATTTGTTGTGCAGACAGGTAATTTTAGGAAAGAAGAGGAACCGTTGGTAATTACCTCAGCACTTCTCATAGTGACGGGGTGTCAGTGGCTTGTATTCAAATCAGAAGGAAGTGCTGCAGGTCTGAATTTTGATTTGGACGCTTTGCTTGTAACTCATACGAAATGCACCTCCCTGCAGAAATACAGCCTTTAAAATGTACAGCATGCAGTCCTCTCCATTCCTCCCTGACTGTAAGGAGCCCATTTTGATCAGACAATTGAAAGATCACATCTAAAAGTCCCTAAATGCCTTACTGTCTAAGCATACTTAAAATATGAACAATATTAACATCTTATTGCAAAAGATGTTATACTAACAGAAGTCAAAGTGGTCAAGTTTTCCTACTAAAGTTATATTACTATAAATATCTAGCAAATATACAGTATCTCACAGAAGTGAGTACACCCCTCACATTTTTGTAAATATTTTATTATATCTTTTCATGTGACAACACTGAAGAAATGACACTTTGCTACAGTGTAAAGTAGTGAGTGTACAGCTTGTATAACAGTGTAAATTTGCTGTCCCCTCAAAATAACTCAACACACAGCCATTAATGTCTAAACCGCTGGCCACAAAAGTGAGTACACCCCTAAGTGAAAATGTCCAAATTGGGCCCAATTAGCCATTTTCTCTCCCCGGTGTCATGTGACTCATTAGTGTTACAAGGTCTCATGTGTGTTAAATTTGGTGTTATCTCTCTCACTCCCTCATACTGGTCACTGGAAGTTCAACATGGCACCCCATGGCAAAGAACTCTCTGAGGAATCTGAATTTTGAGTTCCTTTTGCAATCTAACAAATTGTCTAAAATATTATATTACTGCAGGACAGGGCAGATGCAACATAGAATAAAACTGAAAATAAAAATAAAACCAGTGATGCTGGAAAATGATATTGTAAATCCTCATTAAGAATTAATGTTTAAAGAATTTCACAAATTCAGCCACAGCAAACATATTAGGTTGATGTCAATATAGCATATTGATCTTTGGTCATTAAACTATTAAATGCACTAGCTGTCAATATAAAACTATGCTGTCTAATAAATATTTTATTTTTGCAATTTGCCACCCTGGCTCATACATGATGAAAACATGCAACACTTTTTAAACAACATGAAATGCTATTCACAAGCCATTTTACTTCTGTAATGTGATGCACTGTAGAGTGAAACAGGATAGTCAAGAAAAAGAAATATAGGATATGACTTGATTTTATCCTTCTTTTTGCAATATAATGGATCATGTAAAGTGGTCTCTAAATAACAGGAGAGGCTGAAAAGCAAGAGGACTCTGTGAAATTGATCACAAAGGAAAGTCATTTCAGAGGCTTTAATTTCTTTGGAATAATGTGCACTAATGAATCATTCAGAAGCATTAAAAATGCATTTAAACATCAACAATAAGATTTTTTTCATGGTGGCCCAACATTTTCACTGCACTAAGCACAAAAAACATGACAAAAAGTTATTTACAATTCAAGTTCAACACAACTACTATTTATAGCAAATATAAGAATACTTTTCTGAACATAAAACCAATCAATTTTCACTTTTTGCAAAGTATTTTAATATTTGCCAGAATTGTTTTTGTTCATTAAATGTTAAGCTTTCTTTACATTTTTCCCCACAAATATATTTGTTGTTGCTTTACAAAATAACTTGCAATAGACTGAAAACTACAATGTAACTCCAACTCCATAAATCATTTTTGAGAGAAAGTGAAAGCTTGTATCTATGATTTGGATTTTTTCCAACACATTTTTTCTGATGCTCCCAAAACTATCACAAATCTGCATTGCCTTCTGAAACTCTTTCACAATGGCCATCCTTACTGTTGAGCCCTGATGCTGACTTTAAGAAAGCTGCAATTTAAATTAATTAGGGATGCACGATATATCGGCCACCATATCGGTATCGGCCGATAAATGCTCATTTTTTCAAGAATAATCGGTTATCGGTATCGGCCAAAATTTTCATATCGGTGCATCCCTAAAATTAATAATGATTTACTTATTTAAATGCAATTTTGAAGCATGTGTAACTGTGAGGATGTGCTGAATGGGAATATCTGATCTGGATTCATTTAATTCTAGTGCTGCATCTATATCTAACTAATTAAATTGTGCATTTTGGAAAAAAAACTGTGTGCATGCTGACATGCTATATGGCATCAAAGCAGATCACTGAGCTCTTTTGTGATTTGGCTGCAGTTTCTGCTTATGTAGGATGAAGACTCTCATGATACTCCCCCATCAAACCCTAACCATGGATACCCTCTGCAGTGTCTGGTGGGTGTGGCTTCCTCTAACCACCTCTATTGGTTAAAATGCAATGCAAAGGCACCCTCCCCATGGCTACCGTCACTGCAGTACAAAAAGCAGCGCTAACGAGCACCTCAATGACAGAAGTGTCATCACCCAAACTAGCCATTGGCAGCAGTCATAACAAGTCAGCCAAACTCCAGTCCAAACATTAAAAGGTCTATGAATACATGCCCACACAGGCCTGAAGACTGCTAAGATTCATTTCAAAGACCAGACACCAAAAACTTCCTCCAATCCTCCAATTCCACTCAACAAAGACAAAACATTCGGCCTAAAACAATGAGTTGCTTCTCTACAGTCCCCCATGAAGAATTATGCAGACTTGCACACTTCTTCCAAGAGTAAATGATTGGTTAAAGGGGTCATATTATGCAATTTCAAGTTTTCCTTTCTCTTTGGAATGTTACAAGCTGATTGTGCATAGATAAGATCCCTGAAGTTGCAAAGACTAAAGTCTCAAAAGCAAAGAGATATTCTTTATCAAAGTTAAGACTCTGCCACGCCCCCCTAAAACGGCTCGTTCTAACACGCCCCCACATATCTACCTCACTATGTGGAAATATTTGCATAATGCCGCCCAAATGTGCACGCAAAGAAAGAAGGCGTGGTTTCAGTAACTGCAGTTAGTGTTGAAGCAGCGATGTCAGGGAGACGCTGTGTGTTTCTAGGCGAAAGCAAAAGCACTTTATTTGGCCTTCCGAAAGTAGATGCATTTAGGAATCTTTAAGATTACTTACAACAGAACAGCAATGCATTTTATGGACGACGGTTTCGTGAACCTAGGAGAGGAGGTCAGCTACTGTTTTGTTATTAGTTTAAGTATTTGCTATTGACTGTTCAAATGCAGAGTTTTGCGCATCGTGTGTGTGCGTGCGTGCGCACGTGTGTGAGAGAGAGAGCGAGAGAGAGAGCGAGAGAGAGAGAGAGAGAGAGAGACAGGGTCACATCACAGTAGAGTCAGCTGTCTTAACCGTGGCTTGTGTACTGCAAACACATACCAGCTTCATCACTGTGTCTGTCACGCGACTCTGTTCCCCTTTCGGGCTCTGTCTTTACATTTATTTTGAAAGATGAAGCTCGCGATTATGGTAAGGGGCGTTACATTTCCGACAAGTGCTTGCGGTGTTCGGCCAATCACAATGCTGAGGGTCAGCTGGCCAATCAGAGCAGACTGCGCTTGTCGGAAGGAGGGACTTTGTAGAAAATGAAGCGTTTGAGAGAGGCGGGGCATAGAGGACCTACAATAATGTACAGTATTTGAAAAATAATGTGTTTTTTGAACATTAAAGCATGTCAACATATTCTGTTACACCAAATACACAAAATAATGATCTTTAAAAAAAGCATCATATGACCCCTTTAAAAAAAACAACAACAACAGTGTTCTGTGGACCAGTTTCTCTTAATTATTACATGAGCTGAAGAAAAATTTGAAATTAAACAATTCAGCATATTCTAGTAGTTGTGTATTGCATGGTAGATGGTCTCTAGTTAGTCTAAGAACTTGGTGCTAACTGGTGGACCAGCAAGAAAGCGGTTGGTCAAGCTGGTTTTAGGAACTAGTCAACCAGCTAATGGCCAACTTAGACCACATAGCATGTTTCAAAGCACAGTTACATCTAAAGCTGGGTTTTCCATCAGTGCACGGTTTGGGTTTAACTGCAGGGTCATTCGTGCCACGTCTCTGAACTACAAGCGCGTTTAACCACAATTAGGGAATTGAAATACATGGGTGCAAAAAGACGACTTCCTCCTTCCGTTCAAAATGGTGTTTACCCTTGTTTTTGTAAACCTCGCCACTGCGCAACAAGCCTCAGAGTCAGATTTGCAGTGTAAACACGAGCGTTTTAATAACACCGATTATTGAACACGACCCCCAACACGTTTTGTTCATTTCCATTCACACATTTGCACACAAATAGCCTTACCAACTGCCCGCGCTTTCTGCTCACGCCTGAGCGTTTCGGACTGAACGCCACATCCCGGGATCTGACCGGGGGGGTGTTGCTTTGTTTCGTCGTTCGTGTCTGGTTTTCCTTTAGACGCATTGCTTTTCCCGTTCCCTCCCCGAGACTGAAGGGTAGCCCTCAAACGCTGATTTTCCTGCTCTTTGGTGGCCGTTTCCAACAGCATTGAATTCAAAGTGGCCCCAGCAGTGTTGGTGATTTCTTGCACGGCGAGCTGCACTACCTGCTCCAGCGCGGACTCCAGCTGACCTTGGAAAAACGAAATATACAGGGCACCGTTCATGATTGCGACCGCTCTGTTGGAAGACCTCTTTCATTCTTCTTCTGCCCACCTCCCAAAATAGTGTTAAATATACATAAGTCCTCCAGAACAACTGCCTCGAAATGAACAGTTACCCCTTTCTCGCGAAACACATCGTGGATGTTTACACCCCTCCGTATGCTGTACCGTACTCCACGTAGTCGAGTCGCACCTGGATTCCAAATACTCCACGAGCACATTCCCCAAACGACCACTGCGCCATTTTGCCCCAAATATGAAAACGTTTTGCGAACATAACCCAGCATTGCGAAACACTTTTTAAGTAAAACGCTGCTTTAACGTTCAGTGTAATTTAACCGAGCCGTTTGCGGTTTTTGTTATCCGACGATTTGTAGGCAAGTTGCGCGCATAAATGACCCGATTCATTGAAACTCTTTAGTAGATTACAGCCACTCAGTTATTGCCTGTTATATCTAGTTACGCACTACTTTTGTGGAGCGTAGGCTATTATTTAGATTTTATTGCACATTGACTCCCACTGAAAACAAAAGGTTTATCGTGCGCTCCTCTGTTTTAGTTACGGTAAAGCGGCCGCTGCATTATCTGAGAGGAAGGCGGGAGATTACAGATGTAAAGAGGTGCATTTGGTGTCCAACTCATTATTTTTTAAATTATTTTAATAATTTGTTACTCACTAAAGATAGGCCATAACGATATAATAATTTCTGTCTTGCATTGCTGAAAATCATGATTTATTGTTGTTGGTAATAGTCCGTGTATTTTTTTCCATCACGTATCATTGTGTAATCAAAATATTTTATTTTACTTTTATTTTGGTAATATTTCATTTATTTTATTTATAAAAGGCCCAAATAGTCATTTTCCTAATTCTACAACATTAAATTGTTTAAAAAAAAATTAAAAACTTTTTTCTTATAAAAACGTGTGTCCGTAAATATTGCGTCAACTTTTTTTTCTGGTGATTCTATTTTATTATTTTTTTGTGACATGTTGGTGTATCTTTTACTTGGATGTTATAAGTTGAACTGAGTAAATACAGCTGGATAAAACAAAAACTCTCCGTCTTCATTTCAGAATGTGATTATTTTAAACAAAATGGGATTATTTTAAAGGGGGGTGACACGCACACACCCTGGCAGATTTTATTTATTTATTTATTTAACATAATTTTAGTGTCTAGTAGTGCACATGAAAAGTAATTTAAAAGTAGTTATTATTCATTATAGCCTATTGACCACACCCACAAAAAACACAAACACCCATATGTTTTCAGTTACTGGTGCCATTGTAAAAAGTGCTTATTCATTCCACAAGTGAAAGATATCTGCCCTATTATAAGGGGTCCTATTATGCTCTTTTACAAAGTCTTGATCTTGTTTTGGGGGTGTACTAGAACAGGATCTCATACTAGGTTGTTCGAAATACACACTGTGCCAGTGTGTGCTGTGATTGGCAGCACTCGGCGCCTGGTCGGGAAATGTCACGCCCCTTACCATAGCCGCCTGCAAGCGCGATTTAAACCCGGATGATTGTAACCACTCTAAGTTCGTCTGCCTTGGGAAAGCTAGAATGTCTCCGACATAGTGATAACACTCGTTGGCTTCTCTAGTGCAGCTCAACCAGGTCTCATCCCATTCGTCGATATTTGTGATATCACAAATCCCGGAAAATATGCGTTGTAGTCCAAACGGGTCGTTCGTTGTAGTTTTTGAAAAGGGATTTCTGTTAAATAAAATATCTCCTTTTGAAGTGGACTTTGAGCTTTGTAACTTTGCAGGTCTTTTTTATGCTCAAACAGCAACATTACAGACTAACTAAAGTTGAAAAAGTGAAAAAGCATAATAGGACCCCTTTAATGAATTGGTTCACTCAAAAATTTAAATTGTCATTTAGCTACTCTCATTTACCCCCAAGTTGTTTTAAACCTGTATGAGCTTCTTTCTTCTGTTGAACACAAAATAACATATTTAAAAAAATGTTGGTAACCAAACAGTTGACGTAGCATTGACGTCTTCCAGTATGAAAAAAAAATTCAATGTAGGCCTAAGTCAGTGGCTACCGCCAACTGTTTGGTTACCAACATTCTTTAAAATATCTTCTCTAGTGTTCAACAGAAAAAAAGAACAACAGACGGTTTGGAACAAGGAGAGATTTCAGAATGAAATTCATTTCAGAATTTTCATTTTTGGTTGAACTTTTCCTTTGAACAAAACAAAATAAAACAAAACAAACGTATTACCTACTAATATGATTGCAGTCTTCATCTCCTGTGACTAAATCATTCAAAACATATTTTTTTTCGGAAGTTCAGTTTATTTCGTTATGTGTAAAACCTTTTTTTTTTTTTTAAATGACATCTGTTGGGTTTTTGAAGTTGTAAAACAGCAGGAAAAGAACTCCTCCATCGTGCGTGCGATCTGTGGCTACGAATATACCACAGCCCCGGTTCCTGTTCTTAGCAGCAGAGGAAGAAGAATGTGGGGCAAAAGGAGACACACAAGTCATTTTAGGTATTTTCTGTCGATAAAAATGGCACCCTCTTTTACACTAGGCCATGGTTGATTGTTAGAAGGTTTAAGATCATTATTAGTTATTCATTATTCAATTATTCATTCATTTTGAACAGATGATTTTATCTATAGAGAACTTTTGAGAAAACTGCTCCTCCATCAAGGACACAGTTTTCTAATCTAATACTCTGAATTATGTTTCTAATACTCTGAATTATGTTTCTTTATTGTGTTGCAGCTTGCCTTCTACTGTTGGAGGAGTTCAGTTTTCACTTGTCTTTGTTGCTATGTCACATTCAGTCTATATTCAACTATTAATTACCTTTTTATTCAAGGATTAAAGTTCATTGCAACTTGTGTTCTTGAGAAGTGAGTGTGCAGTAGTGCAAATGACAGCACTAATCAATATCAGTACAGTTATCTATATAGATATGAACATATTCAAATTTGAATAGGAATTGCCAGCGGTATTAAATTAGAAATAATGCTATTAAAATAGAATAGTGTTTGAAAATACATTTTAAGCAATAATTTGGTTTTGTCATTTTCTGTTAGGAAAGTTTCTGCAATGCCTAACAGTTACAGCAGTTAACAACTTCATGCAAACCAAACATATTGCTATTTTAAATATTTATTAATATATTTAAGGATTTAAATTGAATTAAATGATTCAATCAGAATATTCAAGAGAATATTTCATTTAAAATTGACAAATTAAGCAACTTAAGCAGAGAGATAAGCAGACATGTAAGCACAGCATTTTTAATCAGCACTTTATCGGGCTACTTCATTTCACCATGATAATAATATATATATATATATATATATATATTATTATTATTACTATATATATATATATATATATATATATAAGTATTTAAACAGCACATTCTGTTTCAAAGTCTGCCTTAATTATGTTTCTTGTAAAGTATTCAACTAATTAAAATGCAGTTTTCAAACACCAGGGGGTGCAGTATGATAACTACTGTATATCAAATAAAACATAATGTGTTTAATATTGTCATCTCTTCTGGCATGATGGCTAAACTTATTGCATTCAGCTTCTTAACGTAACGCATTACTTTCCATAAAAAAGTAACTAAGTAACGTAATTAGTTACTTTTTTTATGGAGTAATGCAATATTGTAATGCATTACTTTTAAAAGTAACTTTTCCCAACACTGCTGATGCCTTTCTTTTCAAGTTTAAATTTTTCAGGCAGTTCCTTAAAATGAAACCATCTATACATCTACACATGTATTTGTGCCTGCCAGAATTACAAACAAGACAGCTAGACGACGACTCAGAATATCTCACAAAAATTAATAATAGTAGATGCCTGGAGGTAGAACTTGTGATTAATGTTAATAGGCCTAGTTGTGGAGAGTGACACAAAAAAGAATTTACATTGGGCGTGGTCCGCTGTACCGGAAATGAGGAAAGGCTCGGCGCAAAAAAAAAAAGATATGTTCAAAAAAACAAAGGGGGGGAGGGGGGATGCTCATTTGACCCGGTCATTATTGTTTATTTGTCATAAAGCAGATGTTTTTGTGTGGTTGTCGTCTGAGAGGGCACAAGACATTGAGCGCTCCTCATTCATGCGCTTGGGGATCCCTTTAATGACAGGTGACGAGATGCAATAAACACCTGTCCTTCATCCGCGCGCAATATTACCAGACGCACTATGACAGGGCTGCCAAAACTTGGTCCTGGAGGGCCAGTGTCCTGCATAGTTTAGCTCCAACTTGCCTCAACATACCTACCTTTAACTGTCTAGTATGCCTAGTAGGAGCTTGATTAGCTGCTTCAGGTGTGTTTAATTAGGGTTGGAGCTGAACTCTTCAGGACACTGGCCCTCCAGGACCAAGTTTGGACACCCCTGCACTATGACGAAAGCGCAGCGCTTGAATATTAATATGGCCATGTTGCTTCGTAAAATTACACAGGTATTCACGCCACCTATTTAAAAAACATAAGCCCTTTCCTTTCCTGTAGTAGAATTCGTAAATTCACCAGCAGCAGCAGTATAGCGCCTTCTCAGCCAATAGTTTAGTGCAGTGTTTCTCAACCCTGGTCCTGGGCGCCCCCCAACACTGCACATTTTGTGTGTCTCCCTAATCAAACACACCTGATTCAACTCATTAGCTCATTAGAAGAAACTCCAGGACCTGAAATGGGTGTGTCAGACAAGGGAGACATACAAAATGAGCAGTGTTGGGGGGCGCCCAGGACCAGGGTTGAGAAACACTGGTTTAGTGCTACTGTTCGAACGTCTCGTTAAGTTATTCATATTCATGAGCCTCAGGACACCAGTGGTATTCCACTATGTGAGGCTGAGGGGCCATGTCACATCATATTATCGTGATATACTGACCAGTGTGACTCATATAGGCTACTGTAATATGCACCATATAAATAACTGTGTGTTGTGTCAGCTTATTAAATGCATTTACAACCCTAGATTGTGATTTGTTGCTACCCATAACATAATAATGTTTATGCCATGTGGTAGGGATTAATATTATAAGCCCGTTTTCTACCATTGTTCTATGTATTTTAATTTCTAAGATAATAATAATAATAATAATAAAACACTTAGCATTGTTCAGGCAAAACTGAAAGTGACTTGTGTGTGAGCTGTGC